CTTCCCAAAGAAGGAGCCGCCTACAGCTTAGAAGACAGATGAGAAGATCATCATCACAGATTTGCTGTGAACAGCTCTGCTCAGCTCTGTCCCTGCCAGACTCGGGGCCACACACACCCTTCCAAGATGGCTAAAGAAGATTCTCAGAGAGATCATTCCCTTCTTACTTCAGATTTGGCAAGGGCAGAGTGTGGTCTTATCTTTGGAAAATGCGAAACCTGTCTGTAGAGCTGGGAACTGCTTTCAAGAGCAAAGTAGTCACCATCCTCATCATATCTACAATGTACTGAGCACTCACTATGTGCTAGGCCCAAAATGCTTCGCATTATCTCATCCTCTCTTCACATTTATCCCATGAAGCAAATGCTGTAATTGCCCACATTTCATGAAAGAAGAAACTGGCACCAAAACTTGCCCATTGTTACAGAGATGGTGACAGTTGGCACCTGAATTCAGACAACCACATTCTTCTAAAATCTTCACTTATAACCATCAGAACAGCTTAATCAGCTGCAAACAGCCCATGGATTTGACTTTTTAAAACTCCACTTCCACTTAGAAAGCTCTTCCCACTTATTTCTTAATTATATAATACACACATATACACACACATACATATATTTACCCCTTCCAGAGTTCAAGGAACTGGGTTAAGCACTGGGAAGGAAGCAATGAACAAGACATTTTCTCTACCCATGTGGAACACACATTCAATAATATATTCCACATAGCATAGCCTCATTTCTTCTCACTAATCCTATGTTCTTTTCTGCTCCTATTACCTGACAGTTTCCAGGATGGCTTTCAGTAGCTGGGCAAAACGTTCGCACTGCCACAATTCCTATGAAGTTGGGAAATAACAACTTGGCCTCCTCCCTCCTAATGCCTGCCTCTCTTCTCAATTTCTCAGTCTTCATGTCTATCATCATTCAGGTACCTCCTGTCTTCTGGTTGCCCATAGTCACCCACTACTATATCCCTCTTCACCACCCATGCCAAACCAGACCTGCCCTCCACTCTGCTGCCTCATATGTCTCTACTTTTGTACTTCATTCCTTCCACATCCAAGCCTCAGGGTTATCTTAGCTTCCATTCTTCACCTTAGAGAGCAGAACTGACCTGTTGTGGGAAATGACCAAAGGAAAACTCTTACATGTTACACCAGGAAAGATCTGTTTCTGGTAAATCACAAATCTTATTTTTTCAGAATTTCTTTGTTGGGTTTTCTTTTAGAATAATTCTTTCATGTGGTAGTCATATTCGATAGAACTTATTGCAGGTATATATGGACTAAATATGTTCCTAGGGGCTGGTGAGCGATGTTAAACAGTAGGTAATATGCTTTGAATTCCAAGCAATCAAACTACAAGTGACCTTCTGGCGAAGTCATCCTCAGTAACATACTCCTGTCTTCACTATTACTAGCAAACAGTGGAAAGGAGTTAAAAATATATTAGGCTTCAGCATTTGAGTGATAGGAACACACAGTAATAAATGCAATGTAGAAAAATAAATAATTTAAATTTAGGGATGGCAGTGGTGGAAGTTACCCACATTTGGCAACTTCTACAGCATTTGAAAAAAGGCAAATGTTTCTAACATGAGGGATTCTCAGGTCAAAAGAGAAACCCTGAATGTAAAGGACATTCTAGAACCTCTTCAACATGACCCTAATTTTTCCACGAACTTATAAGTCTCATGAAGGTAAGGAACACATCTTATTTTGGTTAATATTACACCAGCAGCACTTAACACAAGGCCTGAGACCTAGTCAGCACTTAGTAAATGATTACTGAATGAAAAATATCCTATACTTATCTCCAGCTATCCCCGAATCAGCAGAGGCCTCTGTTGAACAGCAATCCCTACACAAGACTGGATTTTCACATTTATACTTTTCCCTCAGGGAGCAATCTCTGCCTATATTGCCTTTTGTTTTCTTCTAGAACTGTTCAAATGAGAATCTATAAGGCCAACTTTAAAAATTGTGTCTGTTATGATTCCCTTAGAATGGGACCTGTGTGTGAGTGAGATGCTGGTGCCTGTGGCATCTCAGGGTGAGCAGATGGATGTCTGTCTCTCCCTTGGGCTGACAGTGCCCTGGGCGTTGTTTAGGGATTGGGAAAGTACTTCTTGCCTATCCTAGATCCGGGAACTGAGCATTGTCCAGTCCAGAGATTGTGATCCCTTAGAGGTTATCTTTGCACCAAGGATAGGGACAGCAGCCAGAGGGAAGGGGAGACTGATTTCTGTACCATACCAGGACCCACCTTATCATTTTGCACTGGAGCCTTAAAAATTATGTACCTTGTCTTGGACCTGAAGAGCAAACCATTGTGTTGTCCCTTGAGTGTATATTTCAATCCCTCTCATAGTTGTAAAGGAACACTAAGGGGAAAGGCTTTACCACTCATCATCTTACCCTCTGGCTTTGCACAGCACTCTCCTCTCAGGAGACATTACATAAAATTGTGTTGAACTAACGAGAAAGGGAAAACATCATTGTATTTCACACAAAAATGTAGATAATCCCATAATCAAATTTACCTGGACAGATCAGAAAATGGACTAAATAACACAAATTCTTGTTAATTTTTTTCTGTGACTATCATTCATCTTATTCAAGAGGAAAATTTTACAAATTGACCACACTGCTCATAAACACTTTTCTTCAGATTAACAGAAAAGCTTTGGAATCTAGACTTGTAAGCTCATTCTGGAATATCATCTTCTACAAAGAATTGAGTACTGTTCAAATATAATCATGATTAAATTATTCATTCATATTCATCATCTTCTAGCTACTTATTATGTGCAAGGTTATAATAGCGGGTAGTGTTAAGAGCCGTTCTCTCCATTTAGTCTTCAATTTGGCTCTGACCCAAACCACTGCAGACAGTTGCCCACCTGAAGGGGCAAATGGGAGCTGAAGTCCAGCATTCACTCTGTTTGCCAAACCATAAACCCTGGTATGAGGTTGGCTGTGTCCACCCAGGGGAAGTGGTATGTTTTTTTCTAATTCTAACAAAGTCCCTATGGGCTAAAGGCTGTCTTGGCCCTGCTCCTCCTTCCACACACACCTCCTAAACTGCACTTGGCCCATCTGTGATTTCTTTTCACTTCCAGAGTATTGCTGTTCAGTTGAGCATCCTTTCTGTTGCATGAAAATGCCAAACTAGAGGAAAAAGAGCACATAATATGATTTCCCCAGGGCCAAGATTTCCCCAGGGATGGTTCTGACTGAGGGGCCACAAAAATAAAGTCTAACACCAACAGATATCTGGTCCAAATTCTCTTTTTATACCACAATGTATCTGTATTAAATACAAAACTAATAAAGTGAGAATTGAATGTGAATTATGAAGAACAATTATAGTCATGATACATGAACTAAACATGAAAAGAATCAGAACCTCTTATTATATTTTATTGGCAACACCTTTCCAAATAGGTAGTTACTTTTGAAAGATGGCATCTCTTTGAAATTAACTCTCAGCTTCTTGCAAATGTTTAGATGTCCTCATACTCCTTAGTCAACTAAGAGTGATTATTTTTATTGCTTACAAGCCATATACGTTTGTTTTGGAAAACATGACATTAATCATGATTAAATTGTATAGAATGAAAAATACCTACTACCTGCAAGAAAAAAACAAAATCCAACACAGCTGTAAAAATGTCAGCTAGCCTATAAAAATCTGTGTGGATTTTCTAGTAAACTAGCAATGAAAATTCTGAAATTTATATCTAGTCTTACGAGAATCTTCAAAGGTTTCTCTAAAAGGGAAGACTAGGTCAGTTAGTTTATTATTTCAAATAGATACTGCCTTACCAGTATACAAATCATACTGACATTATACATTTGAGCTTTTTAATTGTGACAACTCTGAAGCATTACTGGGTAAAGCAAATCATCCTGTTCCTATTACCTCTTTGATCTGTCCTCAGATGGGATTATACCTGTGTTTCCAGGGCAGAGAAAGCACCCAGGGGTGAATTCCATCAGTCCCTGCTACGGACTAAATTGTTCCCACCTCATCCCACATTCATATGTTGAAGCCCTAATTTGCCATGTGACTATATTTGGAGACGGGTCCTTTAAGGAGATGATTAAGGTTGAATGAGGTCGTAAAGGTAGGTCTCTGATCCCATAGGACAGGTGCCCTAATAAGAGGACAAAAAGATACCAGAGTCTTCTTTCTGCCATGTGAGAACACAGTGAGATGGTGGCCACCTGCAAGCCAGGAAAAGATCCCTCACCAGATCCTGACCAGGCTGGCCCCTGACCTCAGATGTCTATTCTCCACAACTGTGAGAATAAATTTCCATCATTTAAACCACCCAGCCTACAGTCTTTTGTTATGGCAGCCAAAGAATGCAGGCCCTCAAGCAAACTAACTAAACTAGTATCCATTATTAACATTTTGGTAAATATGTATAAAGAAGTAAGAAATGTTTCATAAAAAATTTTTAATTTTTATAATTTTATGACTGTGAATAAAAGCATCTTTAAAACTTGAGTCATTTTTATTGATCTGTAATAAACACTCTAAGAAAACTGGTGTTCATGCCATGCAGGCCTAGCTTCAAAAGACTTACTCTCGTCTCCTGCCAATAAGATTATTGCTCTGAAATTTCTCCTATAACAGAAAATCCCAGAACTACCACTCTTCAAGTTCCAAATAAATGCTACTGCTTCTCTTAAACTTTTCGCATTCCCTGCTCTAGTCTTCGTCTTCTGCACTACCACAGTACTTAATTTAAATATGTCGTTTATTATATTTCACCTTGTAATTACCTTGACTTTTGCATATGCCCGCTACTCCACTAGAGGACACAGATCTTCAGAGCAGGGGTCACATAATCCATTTCAGATTTCTCTAATGTCCACTGTGATGTTTTGTCAGTAGCGAGTAGATATTGGTAGGTGTGTGGAAGAATGAATGAATGATTGAATGAATGGATGGATAAATGAAGAAATTGATTATTTATTTATTTACCTTTATGTCTCATGGAACTTCCATAGCATCGGGAAAATTGTCTTTCCACCATCATGCCTCCCCTTGATGGCCTAGGTATGAAAGAAAAAGTGTTAATAAAAAGAAAAATGGAGAAATCTTTAGTTGCAATGCCTCTGATTTTTTAGGCATAGTACTAGTGGAAATTATTTAATTCATACTACTTTGCATTTCACTATCCCCATTTTATTGACAAGAAAACTGAGGCTCTATGAGTTTAAAAATACATTCATACCCATGCAGTTGCCAAAAAAGAAAAGCTACAGGGTAAGCATGATGCTAAAATCCAGGCCCCGTCTTGTCTTTCCTTCTCAATGGCCTTCTCTTAACTTTTTCCTCAGCCTTCTGAAGAAAGGTGAAAAAGAGGTATAGATATTTTCTGAGACCATTTAACATGGCTATCTTCCTGTATCCAACTTGGAGGAGGAGATGTTGACTATTTCCCAATGATTTCACTTCCTTGCCACTGTAAGACACTATCAATCTCAGTTTCCTCTGTAACCTCAGGAGACGTACCTTTAACTCCTGTTAATTATAGTACTAACTGAACCAAACCTTTGATGCCACTGAAGTTCTGATATCTCAGAGGACTCCAGGGGTGCAAAGGAGTCAAGTTCCTCCCAATCTGATGTTGTTCCTGATGCCACTGCCTGAAGTATAAAATTTGAAGGCAGAAAATAACTTGAGATTCAGGCAAATTTGAATTACATTTCAGGTCTGTCACTTGTTAACTATGTATACCTTAACCTTTCTCAGTTTCCACATTAAATAGTGTTCATGAATTCAGACATATCTGAACATATAGAAAAGGCTGGGAAGACAGATCCACTGAGGGTTAATTTACATTAGGAATGGAAAAGCCCCTTCGTAAATATGGCAGAGTCTAGCTAAATATTCACCTATCACACTTTTTCTTCCTGACCACTTAGGGAAACTACATTTCCCAGCATCCTTTGCAGTTAAGACTGGGGTCCTGTCATGGAAATAATGTTCACCACATCCAGTCATGGCCACAAAATGTGTCATGTGATTTTTCCTCACTCTTTGTTAGCCAGCCAGCTAAATACAGATGATACAGCAGAACACTCTGCAGAGGCCCTAGAAAATAATTCTACCACAAGATGGAAGAATTGGGATTTCAGAATCATGGAATGGAAAGCTGCCAGAAGAAAAACCTTTAGTGGGTGAAGTCACTAAGATTTTTAGGTTGTTTTGTTATAGGACTTGGCACTTATTACCCTGATTAATACAATTTCTCAGAAGTCAGAGAATCTAAGTCTAGGGCAAAAATAATGGGTGATCGAAACAGAAAACGTATGATTTGTTCTTCGACAACTGATGAGCATTGCTCAGGGTATTTTCTGGACTGCTTTCTTCCCTTTCCCATCACTGCTCTCCCACAACCGGCTGGTACTAATGCCACAACTAGCAGAGACCAACCTATTGTAAAGACCCTTCTCATTAGAGTCTCCACAGCACACTGACAATGCAAAGCAGTACTGCTTTGTGGTCTACATAACAGAAGAGAAGGTGGAGAATATTTCCCAACTTTAACAAGAAACGGTTGGAGAGCAGAACAGAGGAGCAGTAACATGTCAGAAGCAAAGAATGTCACACTAGTTACCTAGGATGCAGGCAGCCCAGGCAGATGTGAGGAGACCAGAGCAAACTAAAATTTCTAGAGGGTTCAGCCTTCCCAGACACCCCCATAGTTAGTTGGGCAGAATAATGCTAAAAGAACTCAGGTTATAGTACCCATTTTCTTCCCTTCCTCATTTCCCTTTTATGTTGAACTTCCCTCATTAAAAGCATCCTGACTTTTCAACTAATGCTTTTGAATAACACAATGATTTTGCACCTCCCTGTAAAGGAGAATATTAGAATTACATGTTAAGTGAAGGACATGCTGAGAGTTGCTGTCCATCCTCCAGTGAACTGTGTGATAATCCTGTTAACCTTCCTATCAGGAGGTCATTAAACAATTTTGAAAGCTGTTTCCTCTCACATCATAAGTGCATGCAAAATCTGATCTAGTCTTTTTAATAAAAGCTGTTTGGCTGCACAGACTTAAATAACAGCACTTCACTTGTTTTATATGATCTCTTCTTATACTCCCCTCAGCTCAGCTACCGAGTGCCTTTGTAGCCTTTCTCTCAGTTTAGGTGTCCTGTGATTTTTCTTTGTTCTCGGTTTCAACATTTAATTCATTTTCTTTTAACAGTATAGCACCTCTTCTCTAGTTCCTTTTGATGCCTTGTTCATCACTTGTGCCAACCCATTTATCATTCACGTCACCATGTCACCTTCCTATGCATTGGTCTGTTTGAATTTGTTGCAATTGGTGTTTTTGTCTTATTGCTGCCTAGCTATTTTCATGAAACTGCCTATTTCCGTTAAACCTAACTTCACTCAATCTTTTTTTGATTCCAAAGGTACTTTACCACCCAGTTGTTTTTTTCCATTCTTCCTCCTTTCCTTCCTTCTTTCCTCCCTCTCTTCTTCCTTTTTTCATTTCCTTCCTTCCTTTCTTTTCTTTTTCTTAAATAAGTTTGCTAACAGCTATGTGATGTCAGAACTCCTGCCTGAATACATTTACAACAAACAAGTTTTCCATTTTTATCTTCTGATCATTTAGTTCTTTCATTCAGCTTGAAAACTAGATTTCCTTTTGGCTCCCTGGAAACATTAATTTTTACCTCCAGGACAGAGAGAACTTACATTTTTAACCACACTTGAAAAATTGGGTAAAATTGAAATGTACTTCTGGTGGCTTAACTAACACAAAATGGATTCCTGATCTCTGGGGAAGACTACATAATAAGATCCTATCATTGAATTAGCAATTCAAGCACTAAGAAAGTCAGTTTTCAGGAGTGTCAGGTTTGGGACTTGACATTTTTAAGAAATGTCTTTGCAAAACAGGGGTCTAGTTATCAGTGGATGAAGGACACTGATTTAATCTCCAGGGGTGGCTGAACCCGATGTCTGGGGTTCTTCCAAACATTTAAAGTCATTTTCCAAATGTTTTTGATGCAGCACAACCCAAAAAGGATTTTGGCAAGTGTGTTTTCCCTTCATTTTAAAACCCATGCGTATTTCAAGGGAAATGCAATCCATATGTCTTTGATTCATTTACACTTAAATCATCTAAATGCCATTGTGTAAGAGCTATTTGATGTACAAGAAGCCTGTGAGCCTGTTTTATAAGCCTTTTTAAGCCTTATTTCTTTGAATCAGAAAGTCATGTTTTGCCGGCCCTAAACAGAACTTGAACTGGGAAAGGCTCAAGTTCACTTCTAAACTGAAAACCCGCAAAGTTTTGCGTGGCTTCTGTACTTAGCAATATGTTTCCCCTTGCCTAAAGCTCACAAACACCCAGCATTTCTCTTCTCTGTCTCACATGTAGTGAGAACAGGGTAAATCAATTTTTGAATCACATTTTACTTGTAAAATTCACATTTTGAACCTCAGTTATCTCCCAGGCACTGCCAGAAGTTAAAATAGCAACACTTGAAAATTAGGCTTTTGCTCTAAAAGGGCAAAACAGTCTATAAAGTACATAAATTACTGCTTCTGTACATTTATTTGTTTGACAGGTTTAAGATATAAGTGTGGCTTACATATGGATTTTCAGGATGCCAGATTGGATGCTCCACGAGCTACAGTCACAAATGTAACCTCCTTTTTTTAAGACTTATGTTTGGGAGAATAGAATTGGAACAATCTTGCTGTTCTGCACAAATCTAATTGCTGTGTCAAAACAGCAATGGAATATGATGAACATTTGCATTTTTCTCATTTACTGGCCTTTTCTTTGGCTTTAACCATACTTACATTAGTGGTCAAGAAGAAAGTATCTTGGGCTATTTGCTCTCTTGCTCCCTGAGGCTTAAACAAATTTAATGAATTATGAACTAATACTTTTGAGAGGCAAAATGTGAACCTCAGTCAAGTGTTTGGATATACCCAAATGATTAACACTGATTGCTATGGACATAGATACATGTCTTGAGAATGGATAAATCTTTCTCAAGCAAAACCACTAATTATCTTCAAATGTGTGATTTCTTTGTTTTTATTTAGACACATCTCAGACATTGAATTTTAGTGAGAAGGAAGAAACAGTGATGGTGTGATTGTCTGCAGAGAAGCAGTATTTTTAATTTGCATTCAAAACTTAGGGGGTGGAGATGAAGTTAAAAAGAAACAAAGAAATCCAGGTGAATTTAATTATTTCTTATGTGTTTTCTCCAATTCACATATATGATAGACTATCATATCTGTGTAATCAAAAAGACTATGAAATTTAAGTTTGGAAAAAAAGGATTTAGGCACTAAATCTAGAAAACAGTTAATTATGCTAAGATAATTAGATTGCAGAAAAGTGTTGGCTTTTGTTCTTTCTCATGGTTAGTTTTCATTAACTACCAAGTCTTCATGATTCTCTGCAGGCAGAAATTATTAGTATTCTATTCTTAGGAAGAATGGTGCATGAATGACAAAGAATTAAACTTTCAAAAAGTGTGACAGAATCCTTTACATTGACCTATGCATATATTTTCTTTAAAAAATATTTTTTCTCCTATTAAAAATTTGATTTAACACAGTTTGAAATTTTAAATTCTGTAAATACATTCGTTTAGGTAAATTCACAACCATATTTTCTCAATTTAATTTAAAATACAAAGCAAAGAGCCTGATTTATGATTTTGCTGCTGTTTTACCAAAGTGAACCAGAGGGTATTGATTAGGATCATGCAATAAATTAATAACTCTGATTTTGGTTAAAATGACTCATGTTATATTATAGAATTTTATGCCAGAATTTATGAGATTTAACTTAAATCAGGTGGCCATTTAAAAACTTAAAGAAATGAAGCTGGGAAATACTTCCTGGCACTGCACTGTTGCTCTCCATCTTGTTCCTTCTTGCCTTAGCTTAATTCACCTCCACCTGGTAGACACAAAAGCTTTGTCTGCCCTCATCTGTCATCTCAGAATGACTTGGTGACTATCTTGAGAATACACATGATTTAAGGCCTGTTTGCCCCACCTATTAGATCAGATTGTCTGGCTCTCCTCTAATGCAATAGAAGTTTCAAACTCAAAAGAAACACGGCCAGCACAGATTGGAAAATAACTGGAACCCTTACAGTATAAGAGGACATTAATCAGGCTGTGAGTCTCATGAGAGTGAATTCCAGCCCTGAGAATTCTAGCCATTCCTTCCTATCTGAAATGCAACTGAAAATATCTTTATAATGCCCCCTTGACATATATATTTACCCAACACAAATGCACAATCACTCACACATTTGCATAAACACAATACAAACACACATATAGGTATACATACATGCAAACATACGAACTTTAACTTATATTCCTTAGAAAAACATAATTTTATAGATTCTATTTCTAAATGCAATTCTGAGCCCCAAACATATTCAACTACAGATGTTGAAAGTTTGGAAGAGAAGGAAATCCTTTCAAAGAAAACCCTAATAATTAAACAAACATTTGTACAAAGGATCAAATTTGTTATTTGATCTAAATCCATACAAATTCACTTTTTCTACCTCTGCATTAGCACCTGATTTCCGTGTATTATTTTTAAACTTTCATATGTGACTTGCTTTGAACAAATACAATCCAAAAGTTCCGTTTCACAAAAGAATACTCTATAGGATTCCCCAAATTATACAGTTTTCTCCAATGCATATAAAAGTCTAGGTAGATTGTTCATAAAATATAATATATTGAAACAGACAAATTTACATGAAAAAAATTAGAAACATATCAATTTAGTTAAAGGCTATAGTGTCAATTACAATCTTTTCCCCCATGATTATCTTTCATTTCTCTAAAAAGAGTTAACATACCCTTATTTCTCAGCATCATATTTTCCTTAGTTATATTAATTTGGTATTCATATTTTATTATATCTAGTAAAAAAGAAGCCCCTGTAGATTTCTACTCATGTTTTGCAACTAAAGGTCTCAGCTAGTTCTAGCATCAGGATAACTGGGCCCTAAAGTTTG